CTTTGGCACTCCAAATGTTGTGGACTACATCCCCCATAATGCTCTTACACCCATAATGCTGGCAAAGCATCATGGGAGGTGTAGTCCAAAACATCTGCAGTGCTAAAGGTTGCCTATGCCTGCAATAGGTGTTCATTTTTTAGGCAATAAATTATAACATATTTATACACCAGCATCTTCATCAAGATAAGATTTAGTTCTCCGGAAGGTTTTCTTATTAACATTAGATGATCATTCTTGTGATTTACACACCTACAGTATATCTAAACCCCTCTATCAACAATATAATCACTTATCCTATAACCTATGGAAAAGCAAAGAATATTACAAAAACAAGTTACCCTTTATTGCTCCCACAATATTTTGGTCCAATCCTTGACGATTGTCATTGAGTCCTCGTTTCCGTTTTCCATTTGGAAGAGATGTTGCCAATGTTTTGTCATCAAAAAAGGCACACACCAGCTTTCTGAAAAGCAGACTCCCTGACCTCTTATAATTTGACAGAATAGAATCCAGCTGAGATTTTGGCATAAAAACATCAAATCCTTCTGCCAACTGCACTTCTGGCTACCAAAAAAAAAAAAAAAACAACAAACACTTTCTTTAAGAAGGAATCATTGGGAATAACAAAATATTTGGATATAGTTATGGACCATCGTGTAGAGTGGTACAAATAAAAAAAGAAAGGAATGTAAAAGTTAATGTAAGAGAGGCATTGCACATATGATAAAGACTATTTGTAATCATATTTAAAACATAACATTTAAAACAGAACAGGAACATGTAATCATTAAACTGAGATTTCTGATGAACTGACAAGCAATTTAAAAATATTAGGGAAAAAATAAAAAAATCAGGAGTTGGATTTTTTTTTCCCAACAGTTGGTCAACTAATTTTGACAAAAATTTTAAAAGCTAATTCACTCCCTTTTCAGTGAACACATTGTCTCTTTTGTTAACCATATATTAAAAATAATGAGACCCGTTACACATAACACAAAACAGCTTTATTCTACATATAAATATAGAATTGTTAGAATGGCATGCGAAGGCACTACATCATATTGTAGTGGTTATGGTGCTAGTAAGCTGCTAGCTGCTGTCCATCAACTCTGGGTCAAAACAATTTGACTAAACCATTGACCTCCATGTCCAGACCTCACTCTATTGCTAAAAACAAAATCGTCACTTCAGCACTGGCAATATCCATTTCATCCATATTTGCATGGAGGTGACAAAGTGAGTGAGTGCTTGAGGGACCCAGTTTTTGGTCAAACCCAGAGACATTGATGGTGGGAGGAGGGCTAGAGCCAGAGTTTTGTGTAGTAAAGCCCCAGATCTCTCACTTGAGGCACTGTAAATACAAGCCTCTTATCTCCCCAGATTATCTTATCAATGGAGACGATCTCCAGGGCTGCCCCCTCACCACCCCTCTCACCTGCAAAAAGTCCTCTATAAGAACCAGCCTAGCACACTCAGGCAGGACCCGTCTCAGAACAGCATCTCTCCGGGTCTACTGACACACACAGGACTCCTGAACACTCACCACTCCAAGCCACCAGGACACCTAGAGGCAGCACGGAGCCAACTCAATGCCCAACGAACAGCAGTGCTCGGTCAACTCACTCCCCCGAGCGGCGGCACAACACATGACTTTGACATACCCCTGGCAGGTGTTGGCTGACCGGGACATTTGAAATCACAGATGAGCCATTCACCCTATGCCTAATAAAGTCCCTACCTGCAACCAGGGCCGGACTGGCCCACCGGGATACCGGGAAATTTCCCGGTGGGCCGTCGGCACCTGGGGCAGGGCAGACACATGGGTCTGCTGGCGGACGCTGGAGGAGCAGGGATGGCGGCTGCTGGAGGAGCTGTGCTGTCTCTGCTCCCCTGCCCTCGCGCGCTACTGAATGAGACCGGGCCGGAAAATGACGTCATTTTACGGCTCCGGTCTCATTCAGTAGCGCGCGAGGGCGGGGGAGCAGAAACAGCACAGCTCCTCCAGCAGCCGCCATCCCTGCTCCTCCAGCGGCCGCCATCCCTGCTCTCTGCCCTGCATGACCCCCCTGGCCCACAGGTAATATGTGTTATACTGTCTGTGTGTGTGTGTGTCATGGTATGTGTGTCTGTCATGGTGTGTGTGTGTGTGATGGTATGTGTGTCTGTCATGGTGTCTGCGTGTGTGTGTGTGTGTCATGGTATGTGTGTCTGTCATGGTGTGTGTGTGTGTGATGGTATGTGTGTCTGTCATGGTGTGTGTGTGTGTGATGGTATGTGTGTCTGTCATGGTGTGTGTGTGTGTGTGTCATGGTATGTGTGTCTCTGTCATGGTGTGTGTCATGGTATGTGTGTCTCTGTCATGGTGTGTGTGTGTGTCATGGTATGTGTGTCTCTGTCGTGGTGTGTGTGTGTCATGCTATGTGTGTCTCTGTCATGGTGTGTGTGTGTCATGGTATGTGTCTGTCTCTGTCATGGTGTGTCTGCATCATGATATGTGTGTCGGTCATGGTGTGTCGGTGTGTCATGGTGGGTGTGTGTGTGTCGGTGTGTCATGGTGTGTGTGTTTGGCATGGTCTGTCTGTGTCATGGTGTGTGTGTGTGTGTCTGTGTCATGGACTGTCTGTCGTGGTGTGCGTGTGTCTGTCGTGGTGTGCGTGTGTCTGTCGTGGTGTGCGTGTGTGTGTCGTGGTGTGCGTGTGTCTCATGGTGTGTGTGTGTGTGTGTGTGTGTGTGTGTGTGTGTGTGTGTGTGTCTGTCATGGTGTGTGTTTTTACTTACCTTTTTCTTTTTTTGCCACGCCATGCTGGTCTCCCCTGGACTGGCCCTGCCTCTATGGCTGAGATCCTCAAGCTTGCCATAGGATTGGCTGCAAAACGCTACACCAATCAGCATCTCCTTATAGAGATGCATTGAATCAATGTATCTCTATGTGTCTCCAGAGCGTGGAGGCCCTGAATGTAGGTGCTACAAACTGTGCAGCACTGACACAGGAAGCACCTCTAGTGACCGTCTGAGTGACTGTCACTAGAGGTGTCACTCTGAAGCAATGTAAACACTGCCTTTTCTCTGAAAAGTCAGTGTTTACATTGAAAAGCCTGCAAGGACAGGATATAGACACCAGAACCACTACATTAAGCTGTGTGTGTGTGTGTGTCTGCTAGTGAGCTTGCTTGCTTGCATGTATGTGTGTGTCTGCTAGTGAGTGAGCATGTGTTTTTATGTCAATGAGCTTATGTACATCAGTGAGATTGTTTGTCTATGAGGCTGTGTATCAACGAACTTGTGTGTGTCAGTGAGGTTGTCTGTGTTTGCATGTGAGTATGCTTACTGTATAATTAAACGTTTTACTATGAAAGGACCAATATTTTCTATTAGAAAAAGCAATATATATTAATATATAATATATATATTACTCAATCATCTGTCATGGCAAGACATAGCCTTACATATTACACGCAACAATATATGGCGCATTGACTTATGGGGCTGGCATATATTTTTTTTCCAGGGCTGCTTTGTATCCCCAGTCCGGCCCTGCCTGCAACTAAGGACGTTTTCTTGTTTCCCCTGAGAAACATAGTGCTACTCCTATGCTCACATGCTATGCTTTACAACCCACTGTAATTATTCTGTATTCCTATCGACTAACAACACCAGTATAAACATGTGCCAAACATTCCACAAAGCGCAACCTTTACAACGGGCACATTACTATAACACTAACTTAAAAGCTGACTCAACCTTTAGTTGATAGCGTGTTACTGCATAATAGAGCAGCACAACCTGCATACACAAGCCAACTACCGACACACTGCAAATCGCAATGCCGCACTACATCTATGTAGACATAGCTACTCAAGCACTGTTAAGCGTTGACTATTTTACTTTATTTTGTTTTACGTTAATCCAACGGTTTCACTATCTAGCCAAGCTTGTTATAATGATATAAAATATGCAATCTCTCATGTCACTGTCTAACCTTAAAGCGGCACTGTCATGCCGAACTTACCTTTCCTCAATCTCTTCCTCTTCTCCCCCTCTCTCAGGATCTGTTATTCTTTTCTTCCTGTCTTCTTTAGTTTTCTTTAAAATCATAAGACAAAGCAGGGACTCTTTGCCTTATGGAGGATTCCTCCGCTTGACCAGCTCTGACCAGCTGAGGAGCAAAGTGTGCTTCATTTCCGCTGGTCAGAGCAATTTTCCCATGATCCTTACCTTCCCTCTGTGTTCCCACGATGCTTCCTGTCATTTTAGACAAAACTGCCGAATTGCGTTCTAACTGAATGAGAACAGTATGTTCGTTTCTTTTAGAACGCAATTCGGCACTTTGTTCGTATCGGAATTTCATTCTAATGAATGAAACTCTGATCCTATTCATTGCCGCGGCTGCATCTTGCAGCCGCTTAGTAGATAACTGCCTAATTCCCACGGTATCAGGGAGCTATCTACTAAAAGGCTGAAAGACCTAAATTGGTCTTTCAGCCAACTTTACTAATACTAAGTAAAGATTACTTAGTATTAGTAAATAATATGCCCCTACTCGCTATATTGCGAGTAGGGACATGTGTAGTAAGCAGTGAGCAGCTTATAGCTGCTCACTGTAAAAAAACAAACAAAAAAAACCTAATAACTCCTCCCCCCGCCCATGGGGGCCCTAAATAAAGATGGGGGGGACCTACTGTCCTCCCCCTGGCCCCCACCCCTGAGCGGTGGGTGGGGGCCCTAAATAAAGATAGGGGGGGGACCTACTGTCCCCCCCCCCTTGCCCCCACCCCTGTGCGGTGGGTGGGGGCCCTAAAAGCCGCCCAATCAGAGTGCTCTGTGTCATTTTACACAGCGTGGGAAAGTTCTTTTGAATTTTCCCACGCTGTGTAAAATGACTCCTAACACTCTGATTGGTTACTTAATCCACCAATCAGAGTGTTATGAGTCATTTTACATAGCGTGGGAAAATTCAAAAGAACTTTCCCACGCTGTGTAAAATGACACAGAGCACTCTGTGTAAAATGACTCATAACACTCTGATTGGTTACTTAATCCACCAATCAGAGTGTTATGAGTCATTTTACACAGCGTGGGAAAATTCAAAAGAACTTTCCCACGCTGTGTAAAATGACACAGAGCACTCTGATTGGGTGGCTTTCAAGCCACCCAATCAGAGTGTTATGAGTCATTTTACACAGCGTGGGAAAATTCAAAAGAACTTTCAAACGCTGTGTAAAATGACTCAGAGCACTCTGATTGGCTTAAACCCACCAATCAGAGTGTTCTAAGCCTAATTGCAGGGCGGGGCAAGGCTTTATAAGCCTTGACCCGCCCTGCGGAGCTCAGTACGCGGTGTGCCCTCGAAGGCTGAACATGGATTAATTTTTTTATTTTTTTAAGTGCAACGGGTATGATGGATTTTTATTTGGCCTTTTTGGGGGCTGAAGAAAGAAGATTTTAGAAAAAAGAAGACGTCAAATGGTAAGTAAATTTTTTTTTTTACATGTTAGTTATTTTATTCCCCCCTCACTATTTTTAGGGTGAGGGGGGTAGGTAGGGGATAGGTTTTTTTTGGGTGGTGGGGGTGACTAGGGGCTTGGGACCCCTAGTCACCTTGATTGGGGGGGTGTGTTTCATTTAGGGCCTCCACCCACCGCTCAGGGGTGGGGGCCAGGGGGGAGGACAGTAGGTTCCCCCCCCCCCTTATTGTTTTATTAGGGCCCCCACCCACCGCTCAGGGGTGGGGGCCGGAGGACAGTAGGTCCCCCCCATATTGTTTTATAAGGGCCCCCACCCACCGCGCAGGGGTGGGGGCCGGGGGGGAAGACAGTAGGTCCCCCCCCTTATTGTTTTATTAGGGCCCCCACCCACCGCTCAGGAGTGGGGGCCGGGGGGAGGACAGTAGGTCCCCCCACCCGCCGCTCAGGGTGGGGGAGGGGGGGAGGACAATAGGTCCGTCCCCCCTTATTGTAATTTATGTAATTTTTTTTCAACAGTGAGAAGCCACAGGCTGCTCACTGTTTAGTAGACATGCCCCTACTCGCGGTATAGCGAGTAGGGGCATTTGGGAGATTTTAATCTCCCTTGTGCTATTATGGGGGTCATATTGACCCCCATAGAGTGAGAGAGGGACCTGGGGGGGCTTATGAAGTGGCGGGGAGCACTGCTCTCTGACGCTTCTATCTTTACATATTACAAGGAGGGAACTGCGTGCCGGTAGCTCCCTCCTTGTAATAACCTGCACGAACAAACATACACTGATACATAGTGTTTGTTTGTTTGGCTGATATTTCTATTCACTCATTCGTCTGTCTGATGAATGAATGAATAGATGAAATTCCCGTTCGCATGTCCAGGTGTTTCACTGGGCATGTGCGGGAATCTCACAGGCTATCTAGTGTGGGCTGATGACGTGTCCCTGAGGGACTTCACCTACCCACACAAAGATGGCAGCGCCCTGAATATAGATCGGGGCTGAAAATAAGGATTAAAAAATAGGTAATGTGGGGGCTTAGGGGCATTTGGGGGTGACTAGTGGGTCAATTGGATGTAGTGGAGGCGGGAGGGGGGTTTAAAAAAAAAACGGGATTCGGCATGACAGTGCCGCTTTAATCTGTTGTGGCATCTGTCATGTTCAACCTCTAACATGTTTCCTATCTTGAATATAAAAAAAAAATCCTGTGCTATGTATTTCAATGCCATACCTATGTTAATGTATGTTTCCGTACTTGCTTGCACCAGCTATCGTGGCAGTGCAAACATGATTGTTCACGCTATGCACAAATAAAATAAAGAATTAAAAAAAAAAAAAAAATAGATGAAGGAATTCTGCAACAGTGTTATTATGAATTGTACTTAAACAAAAATACTATCCTACATCCTAGTAAAGTGGATTCCGCACATATATAGATAAAATAATTTTGAACTCTATGTTACTATGGGCTAAGCAGCTCTGTCGTCTGGGACAACAATAGACGAATTTAAGCAAGGTCTCTGCTCTGCCAGACACAAAACAATAGACTGAATGGAATGGAGACTATGATGAGCTGTCCTTATGCAACATTTATTTTTAGAGTAATTTCCCTCTAAATGCGACTATTGCAGGATTTTTAACAGAAGAGGAAAAAATATACAAAAAAATATACAAAAGACAAATGCTAATGCTCCCCCCTGCCCCCCCTTTTTGGATTTAGGCTAATGAGAAATCATGCAAACCTCATTTTGTGTCTCAAGGCCAAAGCAACTAATTAACCTTTGTATTGCAACTTACATCGGAGGACGATGAATTGACAACAATACCAAATCCTCGAATGTGGTCCTCCTCTTTTCTGACGTGCTCAATTTCTGAGTGACTGTCTCTTTCTGGAAGCAGTACAGGTTTCTGTTCCTTGTGTTCTCTCTCGCTCATGCTGTGTACACGGTTTAACGGAGCCACTGAGAGAGTCTTTGGAAGTACTTTTTTCTTCATTATTCTTTTTCTTGTTACAAGCGTCTTCTGGTTGCAAACACATGACTGAGGAATTTGCTGTCGATTTTGGGCAACTATATATGTTAAAAAAAATAAATAGATATGTAAATGAAAAATGTGAAAGATTAATGCCATACCCCTTCCACAGATTCACATCTATACTAAGGGCAGGTACAAATATCATTTGTAGCTACCATTTATTAACTTTCTGTAACATTTGCAGTACATTTTAATCCACAAAGATTTCTATATTTACTCATTTGTGCTAAATATTCTCACCTCTAACAAGAGAATTGACAACATGACCTAAGTACCTTACAGTCCTAAGGGATGCTTAGATATAAAGGACTTATCCCATAGGTCCTCAAACTCCTTTGAATTACATAGATAGCCAGAGAATCATGGGAGTTGTAGTTCAGCAACATCTGGGGGGCCGGAGTTTGAGGACCCATGACTTATCCCATTAACCCCCAGTATAAGGAGTTATAGGTGACCATACCCTACACACAATAAAATATAGCAAATACGTATTCCTTTTAATAAAAAGATTTAAAGGAACCACCAACACTGCACCGATAAATATGTTACAACCTATTTTTATCTGCCTCCAAATACAATTATGGAAGGAACTGAAGACTTTGAATGAATCAATCATTTTCTGGAACTGCTAAAGTGTGCGTATTTGTATCCAATATGCTCTCATACAATACCATCCTTTGACAGTGAGGCACAACCTCAATCTCAGATTCTATGGATATGAAAAGGTTAAAATGGCACAGGCTAAGACAATAATGGCCATGAGCTTTTTTCAGTCCTACTTGTTGGTAACCTTTACTACTGTGATCTTGGTAAGTGAATAACCACATTAACAGATATGGTAACTGCAGCCAGAACAGGATATGAATTATATTGAATTATTATTGTACAACACAGATTTGTTAAATCAATTTCATCCTGTGGGATTTATTCCCCAAAATGTATCAATATAAAAGATTTACATAATAGGTATGGAAAAATCTTCACAATACAAGCACAAGCTCTAGAAATTGCTGTTGCCCTGGTATCACTCTTTGTAAGTAACTATTTCATATAATTATGGAAAAAAGAATGTGCATTAACATAGTATCCTTCATGGCTGCCAAAAAGGATTCAAAGATGATTAGCACCATTAAAAATGGTTCATTGTAACATTTAAGTTTGCAACTAATTATGAACTGCTCATTTTACTGTAATATGCTGACCAATAGCATTATAGTACTTGCTGGTATCTCACACATGAGAGAATCTTCCAAGGTGAAAATTCTGACCAGAGATGACCAGAATATGAAGTAGAAGAGATGCCATCACCATTTTACTTGGTGAAGTACACATGATGTGCTGGGTGGATTTGCTTTAATGAAATGTCTTATGCAGTCAAAGAGCTTATAATAGCCTTGTCACCACATCTGCAGAAAACACAGGGATGCGTGACGGGACATTATCACTTGGCATTTCGAATTTTAGCACTGATTAACATAAATTTACATGTATGAGGAATTGGAATATTGTTCCCCATATAAACGTCTGCTCTGATATCTGGGATCAATACAAATACTAATGAGGATTATTTAATAGTACGCTGTAATTATGCATGTCAGTAAACAAATAACTATGATGATTAATGAGATTCTAGGGCTGAATAATAAAAGCTAAGACAACATACTTAATTTTATAATACATTTAAAAATGGACCTTGCAGTGAAAGGTAAGATGATACATGGTAAAATGTTCTATATTTAGTAGACATACCTTAACTCTTGATAGGGGGGTGTTAGTGTCAGAAAATGATCAACTTGCTTCAGAGATATTATAAATTGAATAAACCCATTTTTCTCTAATTCCTCTCCTTTTATTCCCTTTTGCAATGGAGAGCTGTGTTTTATTCTGTGTATATTTTAAATTTTACAGTGTTTTTCCCCAAACATGATGTTTGCACAATATTACAAAGAACATCTATTGTTATATTGTTTCTTTATCTTACAATGTCAACTCTTTTTGTTCTCAATATGTGAAGTTTAAATAAAGAATCTTGAAAAGAAAAAAAAAAAAAAAAAGGAGAGAGACTAAGCAGGTGTACGTCAATGTATGCTTACTGTCACGAACACCACCACTCTTAGGCAAACACGAAACTTGCTTTAATGGGTGAAAGGGTTAAAAATCACTATTTGTCTGTACAAGATTGAAGATAATTAAAAAAAACCTTAAAACCACCCAAAGCTATAAAATCTGACACAACCAAGGCAATTTATAAATGGGGCATCTTAGGTTATGCTAAGTTAGATTAACATTCAGAAGACACAGTTTAGCAGACATAAAACCACAATGCTATTCTTTAAGACTCTTCGGTAACATGAATCTTATATCAGAAAGGGCAGAACTTAAAAAAGGAACATTTATCACTAACAAATATTTAATATTTTCACCCTGCATACATAGAACATAGGTTACAAGCAAGTTTACATACACCAACAAACAAATAAATAAAACGTTATCCCCAAAACACCAACACTGACTGTACTAAAAAAGTACCAGTAGTTATGTCCTTGGTGAGGAAATGGAAATCCTCTACAAATTTAATTTG